ACAATAAATCGGCAACCCACAAGCAACGCCTCGATCACACCAATCTCTATGGTTTTTGGTACGAAAGTCAGCAAAGAGACCGAAAAGATGTCGAATAAATAGTAAAATAGTAAATAGCACATTTTGTATAAGATAGATAGTCAGATAAGCGCGGCGTTTGCTGAAGGCATTTAACAAACCTTCGTGCTTACTTAATAATAATAACAAAATGCATGCAATCAATTGTGCAACGTATAAATAAATATTTGCTGGTCTTCAGAAGATTATAAGTGGCTTGCAGGAAAGTACTTACGTTACTTTACTTTTACTTTACATTTTTGGGAATGATTTATATTAAGTAGTTATTTTGAACTAGTTTGCAACTAGTTATAATTTAGGCAGTTAAAATTCTAGTTACGTTACTAGTATGCAGTAGGCGACTTCAAGACTAATATAAGTGTACTCAATTGTGATATATGAGTAATTGCACACATAACATGGAACTACTTTGGCACTAGTTGTAGGAAGATACTTACGAATACTAGTTCAGTTTAAAAATACATTAACAAACGCTTTTATTTCGTATCTAAAATACACTTGTATGATTTGGCATTGCCTGACGAGACACCGTGACATCTTCGTTAAGTCACTGTTGCGTGTGCTCTATGGACAGAGGGAACCCGTGGTCTATATTTGCACAAAAATGAAGGCGGCCAAATTGTTACAGTCAATAAGGAATGAGGAATGATTGATGTCTTTATTTAACTGCTTTAAAAAATGTTTATGTGGATGACTTTTGGCTCCAACTGGATGGTGCAATATGTTATACATTTAACGAAAAAATTAATTTTTTTGAAGGAAACTTTTGGTGAACGCTTTAACTCGCGTCGTGGGCCTGTGGCGTGGTTCGAAGATCATGCGGCTGAACACCGTCGGATTATTTTTTGTGGGATTATATAAATTCGCTTGGCTATGGAGATAAATCAGAGTCGATTGATGCCTTAGAAAATACTGCTGAAATATGGCTGAAAACTCTGCAGGAAGTGCTCGAAATTTGCTCACTCAACTGCAATCACCTCGAGGTAGCGATCGCTTGCCCGAAATTATATTGGCAAACCATTATCTTCATAATAAAGCTGAATTCTTAGCAATAACATTAAATTATAAGCATTTTATTTCTTCTCGAAGACAAGTCACAAAATACACTGTCAACAAGTATTCTCCAACTATTTCCAATGGAAGTATTATTAAGTCCATACAGTTTTTGTGTAACTTATGACTGGTAAGAAATAACAGTTGAGCGAAGAACCAAAATCACTTTAAATCAAATAGAAAAGTAGATACCTTTAGTATTCTCAACTTAATTTACTTTCCCATTCCCACTGGGTGCTACTAATCAAATATTTGTACTATATTTATTTTGTATTTATTTTATTTATTTTTTTTTGCCTCTACAAATTGAAGCTATCGGCTTGTCGGCTAAATTTCTTGTTGTTCCAACTCTGTTTAGTTAGGCGACAAGATTTATGAGCTTTATCAACAGCATGCCATACAAAAGCGCTGGCCTGTCTTTGATCGTGAATTATAATTGGTAATCATATTTAGTGTGGCAGAATGTTGAAGAATTTCAAGGTAAAGACGAGAGAGGAAATTCTAATTTAATCCGTAGATTAACTAATCAAATATTAATAAAACAAAATTTTTGAGTCTAATGAATTTCCTGTCTTTTGGAATTAAGCGCAGAGATGTGCCCGTAATTAAACTAAGGAGAATATACATAAAACTAGAACTCCGAAAGTATTGAAGAGCTCAAAATTTTATAGTAAATCAAGAGGAATAAAATTAATTAAATGCTATTCACACAGGCGGACAATTAATTACAACAAGATTAGTATTAAAACAGATTCTGCAGGCCAGTGTAGGGTTACAGGAGTTATTAATACGACACAGTTATTTTGCATCAGACTATAATCTTCCAATTCTAGTTTTCAAAAAGTTGCTTTCAGATCAAGATACCGTCTAGATGCGATTGAATGAGTGGTACGGTAGGGAAAAAGTTACCATATCACTCAATACCGAAGATTTCAAAATGGACACCGGGGTGGAGGCGGGTATATATTCCAAGAATCAGACCTGCTCCCTTTTTTCTGAGTGTACGAAACTCATCTTCCAAGCCAAAGGGGCATAGAAAAGGTTTGTAAAGTTAACTGCAAAAAATTATAGAAAGCTACCATTTATTAGTACGCCCAAGGAGTATTGTTAGCTCTGGTATTAGCAATTATGCAAGGGTAGTAAATAGTAAAAGAACAGTCTTAAACTCGCTGGTTGGTATACGCAACATCTCCACAACCTGGACTCCTCATCAGAGAAATATTTTCGGTAGCTAAAACACCAAGTTGGCCAAGTCAGTGGCATCAATTGATAAATTTGGAGTGGAGTTGATATCATGTCCGGCTAAAACTAACTGGAAAGAGGTTCGATTATAATTAATTATGGCAGGTGAAGAACAAAGGATCAGTAAATTTCCTTTACTTTTTATCGATGTTCGCGGTTTGGTTCATCATGAATACCTCCCAGCGGTACAGACGGTAAACAAAAAGTATTATTTGAGCGCTTGTTTTGTTTGCGCAAAAATATCCGTCATAAACGGTCGGAATTGTGGCCCAACATTTCCGGAAACTTTCATGACGTTAATGCGCCATCGCACCGAGCTGTAGTTGTAAACGAATTTATTCACCGGACTCAGCCACATGCGACCTTTTTTTTTTTTGTTAACAAAACTCAAGTTACCACTCCATGGAACTCGTTGCGACGGTACAAGAAAATTTGCAGAGAACAACTGTTTTCAACAGCTTCTGGAAACAAACTTGTTTGACAGATCGCTATAATTCTTGGCATAGTAATTAAGGACAGTGCTACCAAATTAACAAAAAAGTGCTGAAAAATATTCAGCGCGGGCAGCTTAAATAACAATTTCCGGAAACTTAGTGATCTTAATGTAAATAGACTTACAGCCAAACTAACGGAAAGAGAGAGAGGGAGAGTGGGAGAGGAAGATAGGGAAGGAGAGAGAGGGATGGAGAGAGAGAGAGGAAGAAGAAGAGAGGGAGGGAGAGAGATAGAGGGAGAGAGCGAGGGGAGAGGGATGGAGAGAGAGAGGGAGAAGGAGAGAGGGAGGGAGAGAGAGAGAGGGAGGGAGAGAGAGACAATTTGAAAGAGAACGGTGGATAGAGAGAGCGGGCGAGAGAGAGAGAGAGCGGGGGAGAGAGAGAGGGGGAGAAAGAATGAATGTGAAATCATATTTTTCCGAGCTTCTTTGCTCCGTTCACTCATCCATTGCCTTTTACACTGTTTACTGTTAAGCATTTACTAAAAATTTAACCTACAAACGACATTGTCGGCAGATCGTGAGACGCTCAAGGTGGCTACAAGCAAAGTGTTACTGTTTCAACAAAGACTACACCACCAATAACAATTACTTAGTAATCGTAGAAAATAAGTGAGAGAAGGATATGTTCGGCTATGTGCAACAAAGCGCAACGGTACATCGAATGAATCACGCTTCAGGTGTGAGAATTTGGCTATCAAAACTACCAAAAAAAAACAGCAAAAACGTGCAGGCTAAAACAAAGAAAAGAGTAAAATAATAAAAAAATAAAAAAAAATAAAATAAAATAAAAAATATATACAGATATTCAAAACTAAGAGCGAAATGAAAGACACACACAAGATCGGCTATGCTTTTGAAAGTTCATTTGTTAACAATAAAGAATTACAACTAAGGTGAAAATGTTGGTAGTGGCAGCTCAAAAATTTTGTATATATATGTTGCATATACTTAAATAAGCGGCATGTTGTGACACAGAATAAAGTTTAGTAGAATGTTGAAATCCTCGCAAAAGAAAAACAACTGATTTACACAGTCGTGACACGAACCACAACAATATTGCTGCAACATCAACTGATGTGGCTGATATTCACACAAACATCTACCAAAGTATGCTGCATGAGAGAGAAACAGTTCTCTGCAATGGCTGGGTGGTGAAAATGAGTTTAGGGTCATCTACCGCTTTGCTACGGCGTTGTTAAAATCGAAGAAAATAGAAATAACTATAATAATAATAATATATATGTATATATGTGCAGCTGAAAAATTAACCTTTCAAGTCTCCAGTGTCCTAGATGTCTGCACGTTGCAAGGACCAAACACCGATCCGGACCACTATCTTGTTGCGGCCAAGATACGCATCCGGCTGAGTTAATCCACTAAGACAGGCTCGACATTGAAGAGTTGCAACCGCAACCGACGAACAAGCAGTTTTCTACGCGACTTGGACTCTTATTCTCTGAGGAAGGAAATTGTGGAGCGGTATTTCAATCAGCCAAAGAAACTATTGTTTTCAAACATGTCGGAAGGAGTTAAATGTCGAACTGCAGTGGAAAGAAACTCGTTTGGTTCTGACACCAATACCGAGAGCTGAAGAGAGAAGTAAGACTTATTTGCAGATAAAAAAAGGAAGAGGCCAAAATGAGAGAGTTTGAGAAGCTAGTAGACAGTGGTAATCCTCGAAAATTCTATCAAAATATGTAGCGGCTTATCGAAAGTCACAAAACAGGAGCATTCACATATAGAAACGAAAGATGTAACTGTTCGACCGTGACTATTTCCTAAGTTTATGGAGCGAACACTACTTCTTCAGACGGCTGAAAGCAAGTGCAAGTGCAACATCATGTGATGGTGAAGTCGAAACCTCAACCGATGATGATGTAAAATACACTCCGCTCCCCGACAGTGACGAGACTCGAATTGCGATTGCCTACTTACAAACAGACGCCTTATCTGCCACACTATTTAAAAATGGCGGCGAAGAGCTGTCAAGGTTCATTCTTTGCAGAATATGGGGGGAAATTAAAATTAAAATTAAAATTTTCTCCGCTTGAAGAGAGACTGCAGGTGATTGGACCTTATCAGTGTGGCTTTAGACCAGGTAAATCCAACATTGGTGAGATATTCATCATACCCTGAGCCTTGAGGATCGACACGCCTCACCTTTTTAGCGATTTCCAAGCAAGCTTCGACAGAACGAAGAGGAGTTTCATCTATGCCGCTATTCTGAAGTTGGTATCCGCCCAAAACATATTTGGCTGTGTAAACTGACGCAGTTAAAGTTGAAAAGGAGTTCCCCGAGCCATGCGATATCCAATGGGAAACCAGACAGGATGACTCTTTATCGCGTGATTTCTTTAACTGGATGCTGGAGAAACAAATCAGGATTGGAGTAAGTAATTGGACAGAATAGTCCATCAAGGCGCTCACCATTTGCGCCCACATTTATGGAACGGAAACGTTTTTATTTATGGTAGTCTGAGTACGGACAGGGGCGCTCGCCGCCACACAGACGGAAGAACAATTGAGTGTATGACGCATACGAAGGCATTTTTCAATTAATGGATCGCATCTTAATGTACTTACAACCAATGCTTGACAATTTATACTTAGCCTGACAATTATTGAAGCTTTTATTTGCGGAGCTTTGATTTTATGTCAGGGATAAATATTCTTTGTCGAGGCACAACCGCAAAATTTAACTTAATCTTTTATTTACCTTTTGGATGTTGGTCGTACCAGGCTTTGAACCCGAGCCTTTCGAATGGCAGTACGCAATGCTAAACATCCGGCTACGCCATAGTTCAGTGAATTAAGAGACAGTGGATACGCTGGCTAGGTCTTGTCGTTTAGGTGTACGAAAACACTCTAGCACTTCCCGCTGGTAGAAGTACAGCAAAAGGAAGATCTCCACTCCGCTGAGGGAGTAACTGGTTTTGTTGCCTTCAACTGACGCCGAATGGCTAAAGGAAGAAATGACTGTTGCAATACCTAGCATGGTAACCTCATCAATTTTGAAAATTTCATATAATTTCTCTTTGATTACCCTAATGCATATTTACTGAGACATAGCACTGTAATTCTTTGAGTGCCTTAGACAACGGATTAAGTAGAATTGGAAGCACAAAAAATTGGCAAAGCGAACAATTTACACTCATTGTCATGTTGACCCCCAAAGGGCAGCTCAATGGATGAATGAATGAATGCTGTGAGTGCAACATGAATATGATTTGCATGCAACCTAGGCAACTAGGCAACACAGCGGCAGCTGCCACGATTCTGTCAGTTTGAAGAATGGTTTGAGAAAAGGTGCTTATGCGCTTCGACAATAGAATTTGTGAAGCGAATAGAGTAAATATTGATGAAAGCCGTATCACTACCCAAGCCAGCTATGAAGACGGTTACCAGCAATTGACCTCTAAGGTTCTAAGCCTGATTCAATTGACCTCCATAATAATTTTTCGTGCGGCTGCTTGATGGTGTGCACATCAATGCATGTGGGTTGTACGAGCAGGCAGTAGTAAAGTGGAAAATCTGCACCTCACAATGGGTTTGCCCTTTAGAGTGGCCCATTTGATGGGAAAACAATAAGCGTAGGTGCATTGAAGTGGCAAAGCAAATATGTTGTATGCAGTGCAATGGCAAAGCTCAAGCTTCAGAAGTTGGCTCTTGGCGTGCAAAGTCAAATTGGCTAACAATATCAGTCTCTCTTCTCGTCTCTTCTCGTCCCTTCTTACATACAATTGTGCATATGTATGTATGTATTATACCTGTCGATATGTTTGACAATACGCTTCTGTTCGAGTGTCAGTGCCAATAAGTAAACGATTTTTTATGTCCATTTCGTGTTTGGTCAATTTGCGGCAACGTTAATGAAAAGTCCACACAAAAGAGTGCAAAGGCAATAAACGAACTGAAACACAAAACACAAAAGGAAAATAAACTAAAGTGTTTAAAATGGCTTAAGTGACACGACATTGACAGTGAGAATTGCTTTGGTAATTGTCAAGTTTGGTGCTCAATGATTTGCTGTGGGCCATCACAGCTTGGTGTTGATGGCCGAATGTTGGCTGACAATGGTGTTGCGCGCACTCTTTTATGTGGGTTCGATGGGCACTTATTAATTTGGTTAATGTGAAAACGTGTAAATGCTGCTTCTTTCTTATTTAATGGCTTCAAAAATTCTTGTACACTTGGATGGAGCATTGGTGGTTGCTGGGTTCACTTCATCATGTGTTTGTTTTTTTTATTTAATCAAGAGCAGACTTTCTTCTTTCATTTGGTTCGACTTTCAACTGTATGAATAAGTTTTTACTTTGAAAGTCATTCACAAAGCTTCTTTCCGCAGAGGAGGAACCTCATTCAGATGGGTTTGGGTTTGAAGTATGCACAGACTGAAGCTTATTTTAAGGCTGTTCCGACATCTTAATTAATTTTTGGCCCGCCTGAGCGATTTTTCCCTTGGTGAGATTATGTAAGATCACAATCCCTTCACTTTGTTCTCAAACATAACCGATATGCGTTGTATTAATCGCAATGGAACTAGATTAAATTCTTGCTTAGAATTGGGGTGTGCGTGTTCAAGCTTTTCCAAGAAAGAGAGGAACCTACAATTCATTCTTAGCCGCCTTCAAAAAGCTAACTAAATTTTTTTATTTAAATTACTTTTTTATAAGGATAAATGTTGACCGTTCCAGAACTCGGTCCACGAACATTGCGTTTGGTCGCTCTATATCTGATCCTCCCAATGGGGTGAATCAAAAGAAGATTTGAATACTTTCAAAGCTGGAGTGCTTACATCAATTCGGACGACCTGACCTAGCCAGCGTAGCTGATGCCCTTCTTTCGTTGAACTATATCAATGTCATTGTACAGTTCATTGTTCCATCGTCTGCAGTATTCACCGTTGCCAAAGCGCAAAGAGCCATGCGTCTTTCGCAAAACTTTTCTCTCGAAAACCCCCAAGACCGATTCATCAGGTTTCGATATTAGCCATGTTTCTGCACTATATAGTAGGAGAGTAGGAGGCGAATATTGACCGACTTGTAAAGTTTAATTTTGGTTCGTCGAGTGAGAACTTAACTTTTCGATTGTCTACTCAGTCCAAAGCTACACCTGTTGGCAAGAGTGATTGGTTTGGATATTCCGGCTGACACTGTTGTTGTTGGTATTAGTGCTAATTCAAAGATAGACGAAAGACATGACCGTCAACAGTTGCATGGGAGCCAAGTCGCGAATGTGATGACTGTTTGTTTGATGTCAGGAGATTTTTCATCTTACACTCATTCATTACCAGAACTATTTGCCTCGCTCAATGTCATCGCCATACTCCAGCAGTTTTACGTTCATATAAAAAATGGTCAAAAGTCTTTAGTAATTACTCTCAACATCAAATTGATGAAGTCACACAGCTTTAAAATCAACGAAAAGGCGATGTGTTTCGATTGTTTTCACACGGGGATTTCCCGTTATTTTACGCAAGTTGACTAACTGGTCAATAGAGAATCTACCAGGTCAGAAGCCACAGTAATAAGGTTCCATCACACTTTGACGGTGCACCTTAGCCTAAGTCACATTCGATAGTACCTTTTAAATAAGATACTGAGAAGGCTTATCTCACGGTAATTGGAACACTCTTTTTATGGCTTGGGCAAGCTTTGCTCAAACTGAAATCGTTGGACATGCTTTCCTTCGACCTGGTCAGTTCTTCGCCAACATGTTTGAGTAGCTTCGTTGATAAGCCAACAGCTCCCTCTGCTTTGTTGTTCTTTAAGCGGTCAAACGCTATTAAAACCCCGTCACAGTTACGCAATGAATCAATTGTAAATAGAAATCGATTGAGGTTTCGGGTACGCCATCTTCCAGTGTTTCCTCCTTCCACACACTTAGTATATGCACTGGACATCGGTCATCAGATTACCTGCTTCGTTGCTATGCACACGAGTATGCTAAGGTCTCGTATACTTTTTTATCGAACTTGCGAGCATCTCCCTTTTCGACCAGTTTCTCAAGCTCTACATATTTCTCATATCGGCCTCTTACATTTTTGTCGTCAAATGCGTCTGGCTTCGCTCTTTAGCTGTTCTCAGTAGCATAGAGCACGTGTTGTGCTCGTGCGCAGTGTTATGAGTTGGACAGACCGTTTTCTCTCCACACTGCGACGCGTCAATCCTCATCACGCCGTCTCTTTTTTCGACACTGTTGCAAATCAATTATTGAGGTTAGGTTAACAAAATAAACACTTATGTACGAAAAACGAATGTAAATAGCTATAAATACAGTTAACCAAAACATAAAAATTAGAAGCCTTGCAAAGTGACCACCCGGGGAACGTTTTAGCGTAAAGGCGCAATTTTATGACAACAATAATATATTTATTATTAATAGCAAATGTGCTTATAGGAGTATGTAGATATATATGTTTATATTTTTTATGACGTAAATTCGTTTGTTTGCCTGTAAAATAGATAAGAAGACCAAGCAGATTGCACAGTGCATGGTGAAGAGGAAGAGTGGACTTTTTGGTTTAGGTTTATTCTCTCATCCTGTCATAAAAAATTATATGTATTTATGTACATACAAAAAATGGGCGCGTATGATATTGTATGCTTAACCCATCAGCATGTAAATACATGCATACATTTGTACATACATACATACCTGCAATTGCTTTTAATGTAAATCTCCATATGTTCTTTTTAATGTAGATTGTGTGGGTGGCTTTCTTCAGCTAACTTTTATTATTTATATTTTTATGCACTAAATGCATATATTTTTTATGTACACGTATGTGTATGTATGTCGAAACCTCTCCTTGCTAATTTTACAGGAGTGTTTTCCACTGTCTGCATCCGATGAGACACGGCCGTCAGCTCGACTGCCATACAAACGGTGCAATATGCAGTGTGTGATTGTGTGAGTGTGAATATGTTTGTTTGTATGGTAATGTCGTTTGTGACGTGTCAAAATACGCTCGCGGCAACAAATATAATAAGTTGAATGCAACTCTGAAAGATTTCTACTACCAAGCAAAATGCTGCAGTCTTCCAGTCAATGCTTAAGTTCATATTATCTCTTTGTTGGTTGTTGGTAGACGAGTAAACGCGTAAATGCAAGTCAAGTCATTTCAGCATTTCAGGCAGTCAAGTAAGTTGGGCTGGTTCTGTTGATGACAACGACGTGGGTGCTCCGCTTGAAGCGTACTCTACTGAAGGCGGTAAACCGTCAACAGGAAGCTTACGCGTTGCATTAGTCTTTAACTGATTTCTCTGCTTCTTATTGCTTATTTTATTCTTCTTCTTCTTCTTTACTGGGCGACACAGTAACTGTGCTATATGACTTGTTGTTGTTTGAGTTGAGTGTGTAGTTTGGTTTAAAGTCTTTCCTTTTTTGCCTTTCTTTTTGTTTTTTTTTTCTCTTTGTAGTATAATTATTATTTTTTCATG